CCGAGTCGAAGACGAGGGATAATTTTCTAAAAATATTCATGAGGGAGAAAAAATTTCCGGATTTAATTTGACCTCGTGTGGTATTCGGTAAGAAAATTCCACACCAAATTGTGTTGTGTAAATAATTAAAATTTATTTTTTGATTTAACTTGACCTCGACTTGATTATTTAGTTACCATGGCAACTAAGTCAATCCCAACCTAAAAGTTATTTCAATTTTAAAGCTGTCAAGCGGCACGACGTAAAAAAATGTGAAATTGTCTGCTGTAATGATCAATCATCGTGCAATGACTTATTTACCCGCATTATTAGAGGATTGTGGCTCCTTCTTGAAGAAAGAAAATTTGTTTTGAATTGTTCACGAATATTTGCATCTTAACTATTCAAAACTCAAAGTGCTAAATGGAAAAAAAAGGTGAATAGAATAGTGTCTAAATATTATATATATTTCATTAGACATAGACATTTAATTTATTTCAATTCCTGCATTTTCGCCATTAAGAAGAAAGGAGGTGTCCAACGAATATAGAAAACATCTAAACTTTGTAATGGAAATGTATCAAAATTATCATGTAAACAAATAAAAACCAGATTGTCAAAAAAATATTGTGTCATTATAAACGTCAAAAAATTTCCAGTATAATTCGCTGTTGGGTACCCACGAGGAAAAAATTTCCACTAAAATTCAACCGTTGCCATGGTGATCTATCAAAAATACACGTTTTGATTGGTTAAAAATTACAGGTGTGGAATTTTCTTACCGAATACCACACGAGGTCAAATTAAATCCGGAAATTTTTTCTCCCTCATGAATATTTTTAGAAAATTATCCCTCGTCTTCGACTCGGGATAATTTTCAAAATATTCATGAGCTCGAAAAAATTTCCGGAAATAATTTGACCTCTAGTGGTATTACTAGTGAAAATTTTATTACGATTGGTATTTTGCAAGACTATTTCACGAATATTTTTTTTTGTACAATAAATGTTTTATTTAAATATTTATAAGCATTAAAATTTCCAAATAGAACTACAAAAACTATCCAAACTTACAATTTTTTATGATTTTTTTGACCAAAATGTATATTTTTTGACATTTTTATTTTAAAATTAGAAATGTCAAGTAATATTTTAACAAGAAGCATGAGTGCTGGTGGCAACAAAAATCCGAGTCGAAGACGAGGATTTTTGCACCTGCACGAATGCATTTTGTTAAAAAATATAACTTAGCATTATAAGAAAAAATTGAACCTACACCTCGCCAAAGTTTTTTGTTTTGAATGCGTTCCACCAACTTCAAATACCGACAGACAGCTGTTTCGACCTTTATTGGGTCTCATCAGTGTAGTGGAACACAATCAAAACAAATCACTCCCTGAGCCTATATGCTCAGTTGTTAAGTCAACAGAGGCGAGATGTAAGAACATCAGGTGATCCACACCGTCAAACGACGTGGCCTTTGCCGCAATCGGTACATACTATGCAACCGGGACTGCACACAGCAATTGTATCACAGATACTAATATGGCCTAAAGGAATCTAGAATTAACCCAACCGGGCTAAACTTTAAGGTAAACATTCAATTTTCTTAGTTTCTTTAAGAAACTTTTTTGACCCATCACTGGTAATATTCATAAGAAAAAATGTACCGATTGCGGCAAAGGCCACGTCGTTTAACGGTGTGGATCACCTGATGTTCTTACATCTCGCCTCTGTTGACTTAACAACTGAGCATATAGGCTCAGGGAGTGATTTGTTTTGATTGTGTTCCACTACACCAAGTTGCCCGACACTGATGAGACCCAATAAAGGTCGAAATTTGAAGTTGGTGGAACGCATCCAAAACAAAAAACTTTGGCGAGGTGTAGGTTCAATTTTTTCTTATGAATATTACCAGTGATGGGTCAAAAAAGTTTCTTAAAGAAACTAAGAAAATTGAATGTTTAACTTAGCATTATGTTTTTTCGATTTTTTTCACAGGAAAATTAGATGCCCGAATAGTATTTGACAAGACTATTTTATGAGTAACAGTTAACAATTAATATATAAATTGCAATTTTTGGTGACAACAGCTGTCAAGTTTTGCGGCGGGTAAACTCGAAAAAACTGCTGACAGGTGCTGTCATGCAGTTTTTTCACCTAGAAACCATTTGTAATTTTTATTTGCGCGTTTATGGTTGGTGTAAATTAAGACGAGGGAAATAGTCACCTTAATAGTAGTTTTATCGCTGCAAGACTCGTTTTCTGAAATCTGATTGGTCCATAAAGTAATGAGTGGAATAGAATTTTTTTTAATTTATTTTTTCATAAATTTTTTTTATCCATTCTACAAAAAGTTTATTTTAAAACTTTAAAATCATATTCTTTTAACATTAAACCAAACGTTTATACGAAAATTTGTGAAAACCCGGAAACCTTCTAAAGAAAATGAACGCAAAAGACTTTTTATTATTTAAAATGGCCTAAATAAATTTTAAAGCAGGCTTAATTCTCTTTATATAATAAAATACTAAAGTGAAAACGACATATTTGTGTATACAAAAAATTATTTTGGTATAATTGCTAAAAAAAACGTAATAAGCCCCACCTTGAAATATTCATGATTGTGTGCTAAATAACCAGACTTGGTTAAGTACCCGTTATTATGATAGATCGTTTAAAAAGCGCTTGTTTCGCAAAACATTTTGAATTCATTAGGCGCCCCTTCAAAGTAAAAATATTTCGTGTAACACGTAAGAATTCTTAAAAAAGAATAAAGGATAATTAATTTGAAAGCAAAGACTTGTTAGCAAAATGCGCAAAAAAGTGTCGGTAAGCCGGGAGGCTTACAAAAAATCAATCAGCTTTTTAACAAAGCCTTTTTGCAATTAGTACAAGTAACAAAAAATGGTCTTTCATTAGGTTTACAGTAAAAAAGAGTCGAGGTTTGTTCCAAGAGGTTACATTTTGTAAATATTTTATATTATTTTAAAAATTACTGCGACTAAACGATCGAAAAGACTAAATTTAAAGTCGTCTTCGGGAACAAAGGATGAACTAACACAAATTTTAAAAAGAGCGGATAGGAAATACCTTGACTTGTTATTAATTAATTAAATAAAGTAGCCAAATAGAGCTAGCAGGATGAGGTAGGAGAACTGCAGGTATAAATCATAAAGAATCACGGTGCTCGGGATTCAACTTTAAATGAAAAGTTAAGTTTCATAATTTTTTTTTTTTTTTGATATATTCATTGCAATAATAGAAGTCATTTTTTACCATTTTTAGGATAGCTTAACATGGCCGTTTTTATGAAAATATTAAATATATAAAAATAAATCCGAATTCTTAAAAATATTAATAAACAGTTGTAAAAACAATATGATAGCTTAACATGGCCGTTTTTATGAAAATATTAAATATATAAAAATAAATCCGAATTCTTAAAAATATTAATAAACAGTTGTAAAAACAATATGGTGTCCATAAGTTTTTTACTGCCAAAAAACTAAAATACGTTTAAAAAATCGAGCATGCTGCTAAAGTTGACATAAGTCAAAATATTTGTTTAGATTTTTTTTAAACGTATTTTAGTTTTTAACTTGTATTATAATACTGTGTGTTTACTTTACAGTTTATAAACACACTGTGTAAAATGAGTTTGTCAAAGTCGAAAGCGGGATCTTATGAAGAAAATTGTTATCGCATGTGTTTTATGTGCCAAGAAAACGAAAATTGTTATCAAAATAGAAGGACTGGTAAAAGAACGTTTGGGAAGATCTAAAAAATATTGACTTCTTGGATGAAAGACTACCTTCAGTAATATGCAATACTTGTAGAGTGGACAAAATACTAACTGTATACAGTATATAAACTGCGCACCACTCAATGTGTCGCGACCAAAAATGTTGTCCCTTTTTAAAACGACATAACTTTTTTATTTCTTGAACGATTTTATTTTGGTTTATAATGTCTGCTAGCCCCATTCTCTGGCAATTCATGCTATAGATATAAAGCTCACGGTTCTTCAAGTAAGTTTACTACAGGGTGATATGTAAAACAGTGAAAAATTTCAATAACTTCATCCAAGCCCCGTTTGTAAAATAAATATTTTTTTCTCGTTTTTACTTTGAAATATTGAAGTATTATGTCTTACCTTGAAACGTTTTTCAAATTTTTCGAATTGGAATCTTATCAACAAAAATATGATTTTTTTTCAATGGAGTACATTTTATGCTTTTTTGTAAGAAATACAGCCTTTTTAAGAACAAAAAGATAAGATTGTTCCTTCAATAATTCTGAACAAGCGACAAGCAACAAACTTCCATTATTTTCAGAGGGGCCTAAGCCAAAATGACATTTTGATGAAAATTTGCGAAAATCTCCTGATGTGATTCAGTTGTCAAATTTAAGTTTTAGATAAAACCAAAATCACCAAGAATCAAGATTCGAAAACAATTCCCGGTTAAATGTCTCAATAACATGCCTTTGCCAATGCCATTTGGGGATTCATTTTTTGAAAAAGGACGAAATTTTTGGTCGCGACACATTGACTGGTTGCGCAAGTTTAAAATGTGTTTGATACTTTTGTTTTTAAAAAACGTACGTATACACTTTCGTATTGCTTTTAAGATAGTTTATTACAATATAAATTGATGTTTCGAAAAATCCAATTTATTTTTATAAATTCAATATTTTCTTAAAAACGGCCATGTTAAGCGATCCTAAAAAAACAAAAAATTACTTCTATTGTTGCAATAAATACATAAAAACTAAAAAAAAACATGAAACTTATCTTTTCATTAAAAGCTGCTTCCCGAGCACCGTGGAATGCGTTAGATTAAAAAAAGCTAAAGGACTTTTCGTTTTAGAATCCCGTTCCTTTTTTTGCTGGTCATGACTTTTGGATTTTAAATTTACCCCCAATTTCTGATACGAATAGTTTTTTTGCGTAAACTTTTGTCAATAAATTTAATGATCAAAAAAGACTCGATAGTAACCTCTTTTCTTCTGTTGTTTCAGATTGGTGCTTGTGTCTGAAAGACGTACAAATCAAAGTGCCTGCGACAGTGGAGCGTGGACACGACGCCATCTTGCGATGCATGTTCGATTTGGACGGAGATCGGCTATACTCCGTTAAATGGTATCGAGGGAATTACGAATTCTACAGATACACTCCTAGCGAGAGACCGCCAATCAAACAGTTCAAAATTAAGGTAACGTTCGGCAAATAAAACAAGACATAAAATGTCAAATGTATTTGATAGGGGTTGCTTACAATCAGTGGCGGATAGGGAATTTTCGGTATAAATTTATCGTGATGATGTACTCTGGTTATAAATAGAATGCAAAGCAGTGGCGGATTGTGGATTTTGGGTATACCGATATCTCAGTTAGTGGACAGGTTTATTATGACATTAAATAGACAAGTTAAAAAATCTTAGAATTACAGATTTTATACCATTTTAAATTTTTATTACTCTTTTAACTAAAATTTAAAAATAATTGAATTTTTAAAATAAATTTTGGAATTTGTCGATAAACTTTAGTGAATTATGAATTGCACCACTTTAATTTGAATAATCTTCTCTCTAAATATGAATTAGTCAAAAATTACTAATTTCATAGTTATTCGTGGCTGCTTTTTCACTTGTACCATGGTTAACCATGGAATACCATGGTAACCCAAAATTTAACAGCCAATTGTAAAATTGTCCCCTACTTTCATAATTTGTAATGGTATTTTCGGACTCAGGGGACAATTTTACATAAGAATTGGCTGTTAAATTTTGGAATTTCATGGTATTCCATGGTTAACCATGGTACAAGTGAAAAAGCAGCCGCTAATAACTATGAAATTAGTCATTTTTGACTAATTCATTTTTAGAGAGTTAATTAATTTTTTTTCAAAAACTGCAATTTTGATGAAAAGTAGTTTTTTTAAATTATTTTCCATATACACTTTTAATAGTTAAGCATGTCATTAGGCTAAGAAGTAAGTCTTTTTGTGCTGAGCTCAAAGTTTAAAGGCCTACTCTCTAAAAATGAATTAGTCAAAAATGACTAATTTAATAGTTATTAGTGACTTGTACCATGATTAACCATGGAATACCATGGTATCCCAAAATTTAACAGCCAATTCATATGTAAAATTGTCCCCTGAGTCCGAAAATACCATTAAAAATTATGAAAGTGGAGTAGTTTTTGAGATATAGTCAATTCCATATTAACTTTTGACGACATTTTTAGATTTAGGGGACAATTTTACATAAGAATTGGCTGTTAAATGTTGGGTATTCCATGGTTAACCATGATATAAGTAAAAAATCAATCACTAATAACTATTAAATTAGTCATTTCTGACTAATTCATTTTTAGAGTACAATTGAGCGAAGCACAACATTATACTTTTCAGCCAAATGGCATAGCTACAACTTTTTTTCTTCAAGGTTCAATTTTATTTGTTAACCGATACATAAAACGTAAAATAATATTAATAATTACAAAAGTAAGGTAAGGGAGTCTGACAGTAGTCGAATAATTTAATTGGGTTACACGGTTTTTTACAGACTAGGAGGTTAAAAACTTAAACCGATTGGTCTAAATTATTTTTACAGCCTAGGCGATAATCAATCACTTTAGTAGTGAGCATTGACAATAATGAAGTTTAAATTATAGAACGTACATATGTATTATTTTAAAAAGCTTTCCCATAGAATTAAATGAACAGAATTTTGTTTCAACCTTATATTGTATTTTTTAAAAGAATATTAAAATTATAAATAAAATTGTAATGCACTTTTTTATTTTATAAAATTTAAAGGCGGTTTTTGATATTTTTTAAATTGTTTAAAAACAATTAAAAAGTTTGGATCATTTTAGTTAGTTTTAATACAATTTGATTAATTTTGTACAATTTAAGTAATTTTTTATAGTTTTGAATAATTTTAAACAATATAGATTCAAATTTTCTTATTTTCACAATTTGAGGAACGCGTACGTATGGCCCTAACAAAAAAAGGGTAAAGTACATTGCTATTGTTACTGACTGTACATTATAAATAATAATTTTAGAATGTATCAAATTGTTTTCATATTTTAAGACGCTGTATCTTTGTAATGAATACAATGTAAAATAATTTAAAAAACAAAACTGCGACATATTGCCTCACTTTGCTATACATACAATAATAAACTTCCAAACTTGGGAAAGCTCTTAAAACTTTTCTCGTATCGACAAATTCAAGTCGGAAATTTCTTTTACGGTCATTGTTGGATACTTATTTTTTTGCAGTCTGGTTCAGTGTTTGGCTTAGCAGTGGATGCATCAATAATCTCAATATTGGATTAATAATAAAAGTTTAAGCAACGTAGCCGTAAAGTTTCAACGGACTCGAAAAAAATTAATCAAGCGATCGGGACGCTTCAGTTTATAAAGTTTACTAATATTGAAAAGGTTCGAGCAAGCTAAAAAGTTTAATGACAAAAGCCGTTTGCCATTATGGTAATTGATAAATTTTTCCTCGAACAGGAGTTACAATAGGCTTAATCAAACGGTCATAAAATTGATGCTTTTGAGGAAATACAACTTTGCAATTTTTTAACATTTACATAAGATTTTTTTTAATTATGTCATATTTTTTATATATATTTTTTATCACTTTTAATAGTAACAAAATTCTATATACAGGGTGTTATGTTATTAATGTTATATATTAAAATGGGTTGTTCCTTAGGGTCCATAAAGAAGCACCTGAAACTTTTTTTTTCTAAATTCCAAAGTCTAAAAATAATTTATAATAACCTTTATCCTACCAAAAAGTACGCCACTAATCGACTAGGAACTTTAGGTTAATCTGGTGGATTTATTATGTTATGGTTGGTAACAACAGTATTTCCAAAATCTCTCAAAAAAGTTGACAAACATTGTTTAAATTTAGCTTAATTACAAAAATGACAAAATTAACAATGCAAATTGTCAATTTGGCGTTTTTATTAATTGTTGGTTGTTTCATTTTTGTACTGAAGGTAAATTCAAACAAAATCTGCCAACTTTTATGACAGAATCTAGTGCATTTCTTTTAAATTTTAGGTTATGTTTTCAAATTGTAAATATTGTAATAGTGCTTTTGGATTTATTTACACAAATTAAATGTTTAAAGTTTAACCTGTGAACTGGTCTCAATTTCATCTGAGTAAACAGAGAAAAAAACTGATGAAAAAATTAATTTTGTGGTTATGGATTTCAAATTTCAAAGGTACTAAATTTTCTAATCATTGCTTAAGCTAATAGCTGGATCAGTAAATAAATACAGAAGGGTATTAGAGCTTTAAGGGCATAAAACTTTTGTATTTATTAAGTTTTTATTTATTTTTTGCAAGAAAAATTTTTAGTAACAATTTTTTACATCTGGCAACGCATAGCTACTTTGTTGGTTGGTATCTATGTACTCACAAAATACAGGTGTGCAGAGATAAACAAGTGTGTAACCAGTGGCGTATCACAAAAAATATAAAAAACTTCTCAATGCATATTTTTTCTTTATCTTTGGAAAAATGTTTTTTTAAATATTTTTCCTTTATTCCTTATGTCAAAAGGTATTCAGTATTTTAATATATAACATTAATTACATAACACCCTGTACACAGTAGAAAAATATTTGTTAATTGTAACCAGATTTGATATTAATCCAGGTCCACATAACTTTATGCTATGTTTACAACTAACTTATCTGTTAACTAATTAAATAAGTAGTTTGTTATTATAACAAACATTTTGTAGATTTAATAACAAAATCCTACATCAATAATTTAACCATAATTCTTGTAATTTTAAAAAAGGACTTTATTTTTGCAAACCTTTTTGTAGACTCAGTAACAAAAGTATTTGTTGGAAATTTCCCTAACAAAATAATTAACACATACCTACATAAATGAACACAAAAATAACCCACTTCACTGTATCCCTCAATTTTAGTTTGAAAACCAATGATGGCACCTTTTTTGGATACTTCGCACTTCGCACACTTGTTAAATATGTATAAGGGATCCCAATAACAATAATAACAGATTTCTGGTAATATATTATAAACACTCTAGACAGTTGTTACGAACACGTTACGAATTAGAATAAAGTAAGCAGAAACATAAGTTGCAGACGCTGAAGTCAATTGACTTTTTGTCGAAATAATTTGTTAAACATTAACAAAATAATCTGTTACCTTTGAAATTAACAAAATGCTTACAAAATTGCATATTAACTTTTGGTAAAGTATTTTCATTTGTTAAAATAATTACCACCCTGGTTTTCTTAAAAAAATAATGTTAAAATTTTACAAAATAAAATTAACAAATTACAAACTCATGTTAGTCAAGTAAAGTCGCAAATTTTAAGAAACAGTCCCTTGGTATTTTTATCACGTTGTTATAACTATATCAGTCTGATAATAATAATATAATAATAATAATATTATCACATTAGAAGTGTAATGTGGCTTCTTGCATTTTTCACAACCAATGTAAAAAATGAAATGGGGGCATTCCACGTTACTCGGTAATTTTTGTCCCGCCCGTAAAAACCACAAGTTATTAAATTAATATTTTATAGTATTATTTTTATTGCCCCTATAACCTTATTACAAGCATAATAAACAATATTTTGAAATAAATTTTATAACGTGTACTTTGTACTCACAATTTTTAATTGTGACGGGCGGGACAAAAATCCCCGAGTATCGTGGAATGACCCAATGGTTTCCTATTTTAAATTAAAAAAATAAGAAATGACTGAAAGTCATCATTAAAGAAAAGGCCCATTGGCCGCTTTGCCTAATAAAGCAAGTAGAGGTGTCGGACACGTATTTCAGTTATTTGAAATCCTTCTCACGAATTTATCGCACTCAGCGTCAGGAAATTCGGGATTTAACGGCTTCGGCACCGGGCATAAGGCTATCGTTTGATAATTATAATTATTCAGATTTCGCTCGTCCGCTTTCAGTTTTGAGACCGTTTTGTGCAATTCGATTCCACTTAGAGAATTCAAGTCACTTCGGAAATATACGACAACGGAGGAAAGATGAATTGGGATGATTTTCTTGTCGTTAGGCATGGAACATCATTGGAAAAATTAAAGCTGTTAAATTATTTTAATTCAAAGAAAATGTCTTACTCAAAGGAAAACAGTAAAATGTCAATGATTTTAATAATTTTAATAATTTAATTTGAAGTATCTCTTTAATTAACCTTGCAGGGTAAAATTGTAAGTTTGTCCACGCGCCGCTAGCAACATGTATTGCATTTCACTAAACAACCGAATATATTTAATATATTTAATCTGGTTTAAAACTTTAAAGTGATAATAAATAGTAACGGCAACCAAACCACGTTACTTAAGTACTACTCTCTAAAAGTGAAACAGTGAAATTTTCACTATTTCCGTCAGTGAGTTATTATTCACTATAAAATTAGTGCTTTTCAATATAAATTAGTGAAATTTTAACTTCTCCAAATTAGTGTTTTTTATTATCACTACTTTTTCGGAACTCTCGACATAAAATAGTGAAATTTTAACTTTTTTGAACTAAACCTATTTCACTAATTTGTACAGTGTAATTTCCACTAAATAAATTAGTGCAAAGAAATCGCTACATGAAAAAGTGAGTATTCACTAATTGCTAGTGGTATACTTATCACTGCGGCAAATAGTTAATATGCACTGTCAATCAGTGAAAATCCACTGTTTCATTTTTAGAGAGTACTTAGAAGTGGTAGTAGTAGTGAATTGGGTTTACCAGTTTTGGCAACGTTTTCGGAAGCAAACCTTTTAAATGCAAAACTTGCGGAGGTCATAGCCACGTTCTTGTTACATGCTTAAGGGATTCCCATGTTTCACACTTTAAAGTTCCCTTCTTAAAAGCATACATACGAATAGTTGCCATTGTAAAAAAATAAATGTGTGGTTTTAAACCAATACTTCGGGTGACCAGAAATAATAAAGAAATTATTTGAGGCCTCTAAATAAGTAATTTTCAGGACTGCTAAGTTTACAAATTTTTATATTCTTTTTCATTTTTATCAGTAAAATTTTATTCGTGTTAATTTTATGTCTTAGAATTAATCTAATTAAGTGTTACAAGGGGATGTTTCAAAACCCGTTTAATTTTTTTTTGTAAAATTTTGGTAAACTACTAGAGAGGTGGGGAGACATATCTACGAAAAAAACTAGGTATGTATGCAAACAAATTTTTGATTTTTGCTTTCGGTTTCTGAATTATGATTTATTAGATTAATTTTAACTTGATTCTTAAAACTTGTGTACCTATATCCTTAGTTATGGAAAAAGTCTAAACTATGTCCTGTATACAAAAAGTTTGATAAGAATTGTTGTAAAAATTATAGACCGATTGCAAAATAATTTCTCCAAGATCTTTTAGTTTCTTTTCACAAAGTTTTATATCGACATTTGGAAAGTCTGATCACCATAATTCTAAAGCTTTATATAGGCTTGACCATGGCATACTTTTATAAAAGCTTTTGAACATTTGGACTCTCATCACCTTTAATTACACTCTTCTCTTCATATCTACTAAACCGCAAGCTATATGTCGAATGTCATGGTGCAAAGTCTAACGAAATAATTCCATCATCTGGAGTACCACAGGGATCAATATTAGGTCCTTTACTGTTTGTTTTATTCATAAATGACATTGTAGCCGGAGATAGATCCCACATTTTGCTGAATGCTGATAATGCTAAAAATTTTTCTCGCATTGAGCCTGTAGATGATTGTTTGCAGCTTCAACAAGGTAAACAAAATGAACGACTGGTGTGCTATAAACAACATCCCTCTTGGAAAGTGCAATGTAGTTTCCTATAATAGGAAAAAATATCCACGCTCTTAATTCTCAGTCATTAAATCGCATTGAACACTTTAAAGATCTTGGGGTCACATTTGACAGCAAATTAAGTTTTAATTTACACGTTGAAAATATCATTAATGCAACTAACAAAAATTTGGGATTCGTTGTCAGAAACTTCTTGGATTTTGGTGATGTTTTTTACATTATGTCTACTTTACAACACCTTTGTTAAATCGAAATTAGAGTTTACCAGTATAATATGGAATCCTTCATATGCGATACATTCCGATTCACTTGAAAACATACAGCGTCGCTTTCTTAAACTTGTTAGTTACATAGTTGATGGGATTTACCCTCCTATGGGATTTCTTCAAACATTATTACTAAATAGGTTTAATTTTAAAACTTTGGAAGAATGCAGGATAAAGGCATCCTTGGTATTTTTGTTTAAACTTAAGAAACGGCTTTCTCAATCGTAACCATATAATAATATTTTATAAATTAAATTTTTTTTTTCAAAAGTTTTAAGTTTGTTAAGGCAAATATATCATTTTGAAATAAGTTTAAAATTTTAATATCTACTAACGTCTATCTAAATACTGTAAAAACGTCATGTTTAACACAGGATTCTACCAAAGTGTCCGACAATAAAAACAACCACAGTAAATCATGTGTTTATCATCTCTTTTTACTTTTGCAGGGCATGTTTGTGCGAGAACAGGACTCCAACAGCACGCAGGTCGTTCTGGAGAACGTGTCGAGGGACATTAGCGGCTCGTACAGCTGCGAAGTAACGGCGGAACAGCCCAGCTTCTTCACCGACATGCAAACCGCCGAGCTGCAGGTAAACCGACCGCCCTTGTAATCACGAACTTAGTTGTCTAGTTGGCTGAAAAGTCGACAAGTTAGTTACAAAGACGCCGCGAAATTGGATGACCCATCTTGGAATAAGTTAGTCGAGTTAATTAGCAGCATGTCTGCTTATATTATTTGTCCTACCGCATCAAAAGGAGTTTATTGAATGAATAACACTAGTAAACAATAAAAAAGGTCGGTAATTAAAATAGCTCAGTCCTATAGATTTTGACCTGCTCGACGCAAATCCGGCGACCAAAAAATTTTCCAAAGTCTCGTTTAGACGATACGGGCAGCACCATGATACAAAGAAAAATTGTTAAATAATAACGATAAAAATAAGTAAACAAAATAATTTGAACGATAAAAAACAGTAAACATCAAAAAAACATGCCTTAAATTTTTACAATATGTACAGATAATATTATGTTGTTCATGGAATGCTGAAATATAAATTAAAAGAAACGTCATCCTAAAATTTTCAAATGGTGTATCTATGCAATAAATGGTACCAAAATACTGTGCTCCTATTTTTTATTTACGACTTCAGAAAATTTTTTTAAAAACATTTTGGATCTATTTCAGTCATAAACAATCGAAAAATTCTATTTTTAACCAGGACCTTTTTTTAAGTTAAAATTTGTTGCCTAGTGTAATTTGAATGTATAAAAAGTTAAATTGTAGATTAATAATACCATGCTCTCTAAAAATGAAATAGTCAAAATTCTACTATTTGAATTAGTACCAGCATTTTTTACTAATAAAATAGTCGTTTTCACTTTTAAATAGTTATTTTTTACTACGTAAATAGTTAAAGTTTGACTAATTTAAGATTAGTCACCATATTTGACTATTTCTGACAGTTAAAAGTAACTAATTTCTTTAATCGTTTACGGCCAACAACAAAGTATTATTTGAATTAAATGCATATACCTCTCCATGGTTAAATGACCCATAAAATAAATAAAGATGCAAAAAATTTAGCCCAAAACAGTAACACAAATAATATAGGTATTAAAGTTTAAAATATTATGAACAATATTTATTGACAAATAAAGTTTATTTTTATAAGAGCGGCTGACAGCCGACTGGTTATGAGGTTAGGTTGACAAGCTTCTCAAGTGACAGACGTGAGTTCAATCCCAGGCTGGGTCAAAACTTTTTTTAAATTTAAATTTACTAATTTAACTATTTCATTCAGTGGAATTTGACTAATTATTAGTGACTGCTTTTTCGCTATGACAATTAGTCAAATATGACTTATAATTTGTTATTTTTGACTAATTCATTTTAAGAGAGTGTAAATTAACACATTTTGGGATCATCAAATCGTAAAATTTCAGTGTATTATATATTATAATTACGTATTTTTTGTTCACCGTCCAACAACGCGTTGTTGAGAAAATTAAATTTCTCTTTCATTTTGACATTTTAATTTGAAAAAAAAATTTTGGTAGGTAATATCGTTTTTTAAAAAATTGGGAATATCTTTTTCTGCCAAAAAAATCTAAATGCTTTGAGGCAATATTACTTAATTTAAGTAAATATTTTGTTAAATTAACCTTAAAAATTTACTTTGAAGTAAAACTTTTTTTAAAGTTATTTAATAAGTTTTATTTATGTTATTTTTACCTATTTTAATAACCCCTGAGTTTCAAAACTTTAATGTATTATGAAGGACGTATCTTTTACGAAAGAAAATTACTTATAAGTGTATTTCACCTAAAGGAAAATTTAACGGTAATTTTAACGTCAGAATTTTTACTTAATGGTAAATGTTACTCATAAGTCATAATTTTACGATATTAAGACCACTTTATAACCGTAAATAATTCCTATTCGCCTGGTATTTTTTAGGGTTATTAGTGATAATAAATACTTTTAATATTGACTAAACAAGGAAAAATAAGATTAAAGTGAAAAATAAAACTTTTTTTCAGGTCGCCATAATGAATTTTTTAAGATGGCATCCATTACTTATCTAAACATTTATATGATATTTTTTCATAAATATTTTTCTAAAATATAATAAAGAAAGTTTTAGTTATTAAAAAATGATTAAAACTAAATAATTTTTAAAAGATTTTATAAAATTTTGTAGGTTTTAAGTTTTGTTGAATTTTTACCCAAGCAATAATTTTTCTTAAAACTGTAAAATATTTAGAGGGTATGTAATTTTTAAGATGTATCCTGTCTATTTTTATTAATAAAATAATGTGCGTTTGAGTTTTAATGCAAAATATTATTAGTTTTGACAATTTAAGTTATATTTTATAATTTTACTCTAGGACCTTTATTACTTTGTAAGTACCATTTTGTAAAATATAAATTAAAAGAACAAAGAAATTACGAATGTCAATGTTTTAGAAAGAGAAAGCAAACAGTTAGTAATTATAACGTTATTTTTACGTAAATTTGTGGTGTTTATATTGTTTTTATTACGTTATTCTCTTCGTAGATCCAAAAGGTTATTATGTAGGTAAAATAACGAAATAAACCATTCCCAAAATTTGGTAATTTTTCGTATCTATACCGTTTTGATTAACCGTAAAAATACTTTAAAGTTGACTTAGTAGTAAAGTTATAGTTATTGCTCCTTGGGCTGTATACTCTTCTTTTTCATTCCTTTAGATTAAAACAATTGCTCGTTAGAATGCTGGGTACACCTACTCAAATAGTGAAATTTTCACTATTTCCGTCAGTGAGTTATTAATTCACTGTAAAATTTGTGTTTTTCAATATAAATAAGTGAAATTTTAACTTCTCCAAATTAGTGTTTTTTATTATCACTACTTTTCCTAAACTCTCGACATAAAATAGTGATATTTTAACTTTTTTTTTCCACTAAATAAATTAGTGCAAAGAAATCGCTACATGAAAAAGTGAGTATTCACTAATTGCTAGTGGTATACCTACTTATCACTGCGGCAAATAGTTAATATGCACTGTCAATCAGTGAAAATCCACTGTTTCATTTTTAGAGAGTATATCCTAGCCTTATTAAGAAATAGCGCCAATTGGAAATAGATGGAGCTACGGCCTTGGGCCCTTCAGTCTATAATAATTATTATCGAAAAATGTATCTTTTACGGCTTACGACTTATGTCAACCAATCACAGTGCTTTATATGGACATAAGACGTAAGACGTACGCCGTAAAAATACATTCTGCGACAAATATTGACCAGGTTATCCTTATGCTATGGTATTGTGCTTTTTTTAATGCTATATATATTTGATAATTTACATTAAAAAACACATAACTTTATGTTAAGTTTAAAAACCACTGTAGTCTGTTAACTAATTGAATAAATAGTTTGTAATTATAACAAGCAACATAATCCTTAAACCATAATTTTTGTAATTTTCAAAAAAGACCTTATTTTTACAAACCTTTTTGTAGACCCATTGACAACAGTATTTGTTGGAAATTGGGAACTTGTTGTTGCTTTATTAATCAGTTTCCTAAACAAAAAAATTAACACATACCTACATAAATGAACACAAAAATAAGATACCCTTGTAAAACCATTGAATTACAAAGAAATTTGGTACAATATAATTATTAGTACTATTACACTTACTGATGTATTTCGTAACTTTAACCCACTTCACTGTATTTCAGTTTGAAAACGAGTGATGTCATCTTTTTTCAGATACTTCGCACTTCGCACACTCGTTAAGTAGGTATAAGGAATCCAAATAACAATAATAACAGAGATATTATAAACACTCAGGACAGTTGTTACGTGAGAAATGTTTTGATTGGCTGCCTGAAATTACGTGTACTTTTTTAAAGAAATAATTTGTCAAAATTAATAGTTATATTATTAATATTATTATTATATGATTACTTTGCTCCAACATTAAAGTTATTATAATAATATCAAAATTAAAATTCAGTAAAAATCCTAACCATAAGTTTTAATTTTAAGAGTTTAAAAATTCCTTATATTTTACAAAGTTTTTATTTTGGCATAGTTTAAGAAATTGCAATGTTAAAGTAAAAAAAACATATTGTTTTGGTGTGGTACATTATTTTGATGAAAAATATAAATAGGTAAATTTATAACTTTATATAACACTAATATAACATCCATACTTTAAATTTAGAACACTGAAAACATCAAATAACCGAAGTAATTTTCTTTGACGTTTCACTTAGTTCAGAAACACGACTTAATTTGGTTGCATAACATCTTCGCCGTATTTATTAGGAAGATATATTTTCAATATAAAACTTTTCTCGTATAATATGGATTTTAATATCTCCCAGGGAAATTGTCGTTCGTTCAAAAAAGGAAAACCTGTAACACGAGAATTTTCCAGCTCCGATTAAGATTTACGAGTTTCGCGCTCGATTCAGATCGTACGTGACTGTACCCTTTAATAGTATTAAAAATTAACTTTTGTCTTGTCTGAAAAGAATGCACGACATAAAATTAGGGCGGCAGAATACGACGCGTCGTCTGTTAACTTTGTTGTTTTATTAAATTAACGAAACAAAAATTTAAAAACGTTTTTGTAATTTCAATTACCGAAACGTTTTTTACATTATACATTCCGAGAGTTTATTCTCGACTGGACGATAATTTTATGCAATAATACATAGTACGGTTCATGCATAAATTACTAAATTAAATTAGGAATTAAGTATATTATAGGTTATGTACATGGATTATTTATACAGTGTACAGTATACCTGTACATTTTTTTTCTGATTTCGAACTAAACGCAATAGATGGAACCAAAATTTCTTTGTAATTTCAATGTATTTTTATTATTGTACGGCGGTGTATAATAATTTGACTTTTAAACTGCGTTCATATATAAATAGGTATTTGGCCAGTTCTCACATCATGGGCACTACGTAGAACAGAATGCATTAACCCATACTCACGGTTTTTGCATAACTATGTCTTTTGGGCCGTTGTGGAGTATGATTTTTACCTCCGCTATGAGCTATAGGCAGCACAGTTCTGCCCATAGT